TCCAAAGGGGTGAAAAAAAATCAATATACTTCCTAAATAAGGTCAGAACTTATGAATTGATCAAAAAATAGTATAGTAAAACGGCTTACCAAAGAAATTCCTTTCTCTAAATGATTTACTTCTGCAAAAAATAAGATAGTACGTATAAAAGAATGAGAGACATCAATACCGTTATTAATGAGACACTTCAGAAATAAGAATTTGGAGGTAGCACTCTGAACTTCTTTGATACATTCCGTATTCTCATATCGAACAGTAAATTCTCCTAAATTCATGAAGTTTTCATGGGGACTACAGTAGCCATAAATATTCTTTGTAAAGAAAATACCCTTTAAATAGCTATCAACGAGCGAAGCTTCAGTGTTCTGTTAAATAAAAAATTATGGCACATTACAAAAAAGAAAAACTGCACAACAGTTTTTGGAAGAGTTTCTTCGAAAAGGCGGGTAAGCAAAGTCCAGCACTCTTCAGCGTCGTGCTGTAGAGGTTCACCGCGTTGACCCTTCTCAGCAAACTGGGGAAACTTTTCTATAAAAGCCTGTAAACAGTACAATCAAAGAACATTGGTTAAGGAAAGCAAAAATTTGCCTTGTAAAAAAGAGAAGCATCCACTGGCAGCCCGTTAGCCTCTATAAGCAAATAATTATTCTTAATAAAACAAGGTAAATTTAATAATATTAACTGTCATTAGTGTCCAGTTCTTTATATACTTTGGCCAACTTCTGCAACAAAAGTCGATCTGAATCTTGAAAAGCTTCATTCATAGTTCTGTTAAACATTTAAAATGATTAGTATGCCAAACAAAAAAGAGCTACTGTAAAATCTAGACCCAAGGAGGGCAGAATAAAGTTCTGGTATTGAACGAAGACATTGCAATGTAGAATTTAAGTAGCAAGTGTTACCCAAATTTAACAAACCAGAAGGGAACTACATCAAATATACAATACCAAATAAGCTAACAAAGGAAGTAACTGTAGGTACTCCTGTCGGGTCTTTTGCAAAGTGCTCTTCCTCAAAATTTTCTGGCTCAGTAGTATTAGGTGGAATTGCTACAGCTGAAGAAGGCGTGCCAATCATCAATAAAGTCATATTCTGTTGATAATATAAACCATTAAAGCAAAAAAGCAAAATAATTTTTTTTTTAAATATACATCTTTTAGCACAACGTCTCCCCAGTTGTCATTCTAAAACATGGAAAATAAATGAGTAATTAAAAATTTTAATGTTGCTCGCTCACCCCTAAAGGTTTTCCTTTAATGAAAATCTTCTGATTAGAAGGCTCTACCCCAGTTAAAGAAAAGAGGTATGCTTTTAATAACAATGGAGGTTCCGCTAAAATATACGGTAAACTTTATACTAAATTTCTAAAAGCTTTGTATTTGCTATTTACCAAGATCTACTAACAAATCGGAAAACTTTTCACCGTTCCACTTGACGCAAACATTACAAGCGCCCGACTTCAAAGTCATCCCGACTTACGTGTTTTTTTTTGTCGGTGTTTTAAGGGATAATAGACAGAAAAACCTAAACTAACTGTCACACACTACTTATAAAGAGGCCTAAACAATTACTGAGAGCTAACGAGGAGCAAGGCAAGGGCATACGACTAACCCCTCCAAACGTGAAGAGACTATTGTTATCACTTAAAACAAGAAACACGAACTCATTATTACAAATATTATAACAAAAACATGAAACTTGAACGGCTTGAAGAGTTGTTAGCTTCTCTTCAGGCCCTGATTTCTTTGTCAACTCCACGAAGATCTATTGAAGCTAAGCACTTAGCTGAGGAGTTGGCGTTTTTTTGCCAGAATGCTATATATTCGGAAGAGCAACTTTGTAAACAGTTTACTATTTTAAAATTTCCCTTTGAACACTATGCTTTTATTTCTATGCTTAGCTCTTTTTTTGACTGTGTTATTTAATAACAAAAACGGAATACTTAAATTTCTTCTTGAGTCCACATCTGAGGAAGAGTTAGACTCTTGTAAAGAAATATTAATAGCCGTCCTCGGTTGCCATTATCATCTCTATATATTATAATTAGATATGTAGAAATAGTTTTTCCTCTATTTTCATAGAAGAGTCACTGAATGTAAATATTGAATTCATAAAACCACATGTAAGGTTAATTAAGGTCTCTTATTAAATTGTCTTAATTTCTTGTCGTGAGTTAACTTAAAATTAATTCAGGAAGTTTGCGTTAAACTCTATAACAAGGAAAGAAAAACAAAAATTATAAATGCGACATTTAGCCCTTTATTCCAGCTTTTGAAGCTTCCTTTGGATCCTTCTCTACTAGACTTATCTAAACTGGCTACGATGTTTATTTTTTTTTGTGCTTTACTTAAAAAACTTCAGTGATAGTGCTGTCCTGGTGTAGGTACTTTAAAGATTATATAAACTCTAAGTCTAAACTTGCCTCCTCCGGTATTTATTTATTATTTTTTTTATTTTTCGTTCGACTCAATATAATTCTATACTATAGTACGGTCGAACATACTACTGTTATTGGGACTTCTATGCAAGCACTACCCTATTTCTATGCAAGAATACGAAAAAGACTTGCTCAAGATATTTTTAACGTCACTCAATGAGCAAATGGTAGATGTTGCGCTCACTAATTTTTACTTAAAATAATCTACATCATTAATGCTGTAGGTAACCACTAAAAAGAAACCCGACTTTCAACTAATTAAAGGATCCTTTGCCGGACTCACTGCTTTTTCTGCTAGCTTTTCGAATTCTTTGCGGGAAGGTGGCTAGCCTACTTTCATAACTGTTCTAACTAATTATTATTAAGACGCCCGCACGACTTCTGAAATCTTCCGGTACGTGCAAAAGGCGCTCAGTCTCCCAAGGGAGCTCCAGCGTTACGACGTTCCTGTCGGTACTCGTCTGCTGCACACTTCCGGTTCCTTTGAGTGTTACTAACGCGCTTTTTCTCTACGCACACGCCAGCCGCCTTAAAGTTTATTGCGAAGTGCGGGGACCTTGTCGCTTCCTACTTGCTGGAGGACTACCACTCGTTTTACCAAAGTTTAAAAAAGTGGTGTCTTCACCAAAACGTCACTGTCAGGAAGACTGCTTTTTCTGCTCTTTGCGAGTTTCTTAGGCGGGTGTGTAATTTATGTACTGTAGTTCAGTTGTCGTGTATATCGCCCATAAATACTGTAAAGGTCTCCTCTGGACTGACTCAAGGTGTTAATAAAGAGGCTTCCAGTTCGGTGTTTCTGGTAGCTCATAGTTATGCAGAAGAGGGCAATACTGTGGTGTAAAAGATATATTCCAGTATTTTATTAAAGAATTCAAAGATGTCATGAACTCAGCAAGCAGTTCTCGATATGAAAATGAAATGGCTATTCGAGGTAGCCAATCTACTCAAGCTTGTAAGGCCAAACATCTTCCTTTTCGCGTAGGCTACGGTTACTTCGCTGCTCCGTGCCTTTTGTATATGAGAGAGGAGGAGGTCTATTATATGTTCCACGACGTTGCGCAGCAAGCAGTAATGTTCTTCTCCGCGGGGTCCTTGGCCTTAATGTAAACGACTCTTTTATTGGTCGACTCACACTGTCTTGCCCCTGCGCAGGACTAGTCACGACTCTTTGACTGAACCCTTGCCCGCCTACATGGAGTCGATTGGCTCTGCCCTGCATGCCCTTCCAAGGGCAGATGTAAGCTGGCGTATGGGCAGCGCAGCTTTCGCACTGCCTGAGTATTTTGCTTTTAGGATGCCGTACTTGTTAGGCTAGATGCCGTGCTTGAGACTTTTTTCAAGCATTTTCGTTTTGTTACAGCCTCCCACTTCTTAGTGCGCTATATATTTGGTTCTTTTTTTTTTTTTTTTTTAATTTTTTTAATAGAGTTGCTATGTCAACATAGTTCGTATGCTTGCTATTATTTATAGCAAAAGAGGTGATCACAAATTTTTTTTTACGAGAACATGTAAGCTGTTTCCATCGCCGCTCTGCTGGCGTGTGTAAAATATATATATTTTTAGTATATAAGGGACTCTTAGTTTCTCTGAGCTTCATGGAGCCCGAAAAGTTTAGCGAAGAGGCGTCCATCCCCCCACTGGACTACGATGTTACGCTAAAATACTGCGAACTCTGGAAGAATCTTCTTTCTTCCGCTAACCAGCACAATGTCTCTCCCGTTATACTTACGCCGTCACAAAGGTTTCTTTTAGCATCGCGCCTTTTCCATGTTTACCGATACAATCTAGAGAGTCGCTCTTCGACTCGCTTTATGACTCGTTTATCGCTTCAATACTGAGAATCATTGAAAAACTGGACTTATCCGTTGAAAGCAATACCCTCGCGTATAGATTTGCGCTGCATCTTTAATTCGCTTATATTGACTTCAATACATTGTCAAGCGGCGGAGAAGAGACCGTCCGTCCGAAGGTGTCAAGCGATTTCCAGGTTGTCCTCTTGTATGATTTAAATGTATTGTTTATCGTCCTTGGTATGCAGTTGTTCATTTCTCTTGTGGAGCTCTGCAAATATACTATTTCCACTGTTGAAGTAAAAAGGTTGTCTTGACTACTTTGTTTCAAAAGGTTTTTTTTTCCCTATCCAATACTTGCGGTTTTGTAGGTTTCGCCGATGGGTGTACGTATTCAGTAGCCGAATAGTTGTTCTCGCTGACATCCACCCACATGTTATTTTCAGCAAGCTTCATATCTTGGTGAGCCGTAGTAGTTAATTTGCATTTCAGGTTAGCGGGGTTTACAAGCTTATGACTTTGTGCTTTAAAAACTGTGAGAGGCTCCACTTTTTATCCGGTTCTCTTTACTCTTTTAACATAAAAGCCGCTTGATGGTATTACTTATTATTAAAGGCAAAAAAGAACTGGACCCTAATAAAAAGTTGTGCTTTCATCTCTTTGAGGACTACGCCAGAAAGGTAATCTAATATAATACCTTTAGGCTGGTGAGGTGTTACTTGTCAAGTGTACTTTCAGGCCTCTGTAAAAATAAAGCTCTTTAAGTATGGACTTCTTGCAGCATGCTTGGAGTCTCTCTTGGCCCTCCCACTTTTGTTGGTGGACGCGTATGTTTTCATTTTGCTTCCTTTTAACGTTCACTATTTTTTAAAAAAAAAAGCCTCGTGGAGAGTCTGGTTCAAGCCTTGCAAGTTTCCTTAAGAGTGGGCTTAAACTACCCTCCTATAGTTTCGGACGTTTTGGACGCCATGGAAGTCTGGGCTGAGGTTCTTGCTCGCTCTCCTTCCCATTGGCGACATGCGCAAAAGTTACGCTCATTCATAGGCGCTGCCACTCGCATCACTTCAGCGCTGTTGCCGAGGCGTACTCCCTTTTATTCGCCCGTACCTCTCTACTGCGGTCAGCATCAGCGTTACTCCTCCCGTCCGCCCGCGCGCCCTTCAGAGTAACCCCAAATTGGCGACTCCTTATGACCAGGTCTTCCCCGGCTGCTGGGTCGCTCGTTTCTAAGATGCCTTAAACTTTTACTCAGGAAGTGGTCGGGGCCGTTCGTCTCCGCTTAATTAAGTTCATTGGTCGAATAGGCGGTCATCTAAGTCTTGAGGTTCTTTGCGATTAGATGAGCAGTTCTTGGGCGCTTGTAACTGGATGCTCCTCCAGCTGCTCAACGGTGTTCACGACAACTTTAATGCTGCCCTCAAACTGGATGGCCGCATGCTGTGGAGCTCAGAGGGGCACTTACTCTTTGCATTTCCCTTTGAGGATGTCAAAATGGATATTACTTTGGGTCCGCTTTTTTTAACTTCTCCCATACAACGTTACCAAATAGCAACACTTGCACGCCAAAGATTTTCTAGTTCCGCATGTAGCAAGCCTTGCGGAAAGCGCCAGTGATCGGCAGGCCAAAGTGAGTTTTTTATAATTCTATAAGCTTTTCAGTAGCATCCCCGCTCAGGTAGCTGCTGGGGAGTTGTTGCACGCGTTTGTACTTCTTTTGGTGGGGAGAAGCGCCCAGTTCACGGCTCCCCCGCGGGTTTATTAGTTAGTGGGCTCTCGGCTCTGCCGGATTCATTGCCTCCTGATTAGGAGCCACTCCTCACCTTGTACCGTCACCTTCTGCCTGTTTTGCTTCGTTTGGCTTGTGACGTGGAGACAGTCCTCCAAAAGGTGGCATCATCTGTCACAAAAACAATAGGATGTGAACCGTAAAGATCGTAGTTATATTCGGCATTGTGCGAGCAACTCGTTCATTGGTTTACAACTTCTGCCAAGCAACGCTCTTCGGAGGCATCGGCCATGTTGGATGCCATCATAGACGGCATGGTACAGCAGCCACGCTTCCCTTTGGTCTGTGTCAATATAGTTTCGTTGAGGTCAACCCTGAAGACTTTGCTCTGCGCGACTATTCGTCAAGTCTTCTCCAAACGTATCTTGTGCGTTTCCTTCATTTGACCTCGAAGTTATTAGCGGATAGTTGACCTCTTTTCCGCTTCAGACGTGGACAATCAAGCAGGCGCCCGGCCAGGCTGCTCTTATACATACCTTTAAACAATTAACGAAGCGTTTATACAATTTGGTATTGATTGCTATAAACTTTGCGGATTTTTTTATTCACGCACTTTTCAGGCCCAACACGGCAACTCTTTTAAGCGTCTGGGTGCGACAACCGCCTTTTCGAGTCTGCTCACTATTTTCCAGGAGGAAGCAGGTTATAGCCTGTTGAGTTTAGCCCTACACCTTTCATTCTCTGCTGGTAGTATTAGTAGACACGTTTGCTTTCGAAATGCTCGTCAACCTCATTTTGTGCTTGGGACTATCTCAAAACGATGACGTCAGCCTTGGTACGCCTACTCGCCTTTACTTATTAGCTGCCTCTGGACATTTCCTTGTACAGACACACGTGCATCCGCCGAAAAAGCCATCCGAAAACTGGCGATCATTGTTGAGCGCTGGGCACATATGCTGTGTAAAGACTCTGCCAGGCGGAGGCCCCCGCTGACATGGGATTGTCGGCCGTCTATGAAAACGATGGCTAGTTTTACAGCGCTGTGTTTGGTGGGAATAAATAATGCGCTTCTGTAGGTCTCCTGGCTTTTTTCTCAGTTTAAAATTCGCGAGGAATACGCACGTGTTCTATGCATTGAACTTTTTGACTGTTTCATTAAACTTTTGGAGCGTAATCAAATTAGAATTACATTCTTGTTTGCCAGTTATTTTATTTATTATTCCTCAGCCGAAAACTCGTCGGCTGCGTGGATCAAAACCTGTCTTAAACCAAACGGACTTCGACCTCTTCTCGAGAACTTCGAGTTCGTCCGCTTTCGCTTATGTTTTTCGTTGTTACGTTTCTTTTCCTCGTAACAGAGCACTTATGAGGGATGCTGAACAACGTGGCGACACGGAGGACTGGTTTTCACTTGCTGGCGTTCTTCTCTGGCTTTTTTATGCGGAACTTTAGGCTTACTGGCCTATCCGGCACCCTCGACTGCCACCACTGGGCTTTGAGGGCTACAAGCATATCTCCACAAGGCTAGTCTGCCTCTCTTTTTCTCTCATCGGTATCTTCCTACTCACTTTCTTTACGTTTTCAGATCTCCTTCGTGACGGTTGCTTGCAGAGTAATATTTGGAAGTACCTCGAGAGTCTTGCCGCGCAGGTGCGCGTATTCCCTGCTCTTGTCTCGGTTACCAGTAATCTGCTATACTCGTTGGACTCCGCAAGGCGGATGCTGCTCCTGCGAGCGGCTGCTTTCCTCTCGAACACCGCGGAAACCATCGTTTAGGGCAGGACGCAGTATGATTCGACTACATGATTTTTTCTGCTGGCTGACTTTATTTGCGCAGCTTTTGCGCTTGTTTATGTATTTGGGCGCACTTGCTGGTAGTTACGGTTTACATGTGATTGGCGAAAGTTTTTGGAACGTGAGTTTTTTCCGTTACCCCTTCCACATGTGCTTTACTGTAAAATTGTGGGGTAGGAAACTCTCTTTAAAGTGTTTGCCCACGCATTGCTGGTCCCCACTTCGCTGGACTCGGAAGTACTTCGCCAAAAACGTCCGAAATTGGCGGAGGTATACCTACCCTCATTGGCCCATGAGTTGCAATTCTTCAACTTTTTTTGTGTTATTGGAAGGCGGCCGACGAGGCTCTTCAGAAAATGCTCTCAAAGTTTTCGTTTTCAATGAAGGTAAGAGCTTCCACATGTGGAGAAAGAAATTTTTCCTTTGGATTTATCCCGGCTCGTTCAGGCCAACCTGAAAAAAGCTTTTGGCGACGTTATTAGGCGTGCAACTGCCAACCATAACGGCTTAGCTGGCCTATTATCGGAAGTACTTCCTGTGCTTCCTCTCCTGCAGCTGCTTTTCCCTCTTGTTTACAGATCCATGAGATCGACCTTAGGCGCACAGGTCATCTCTTGTGGGGCTGCCGCCGGGCTCAGGAGGTAGCGTTGCTGGACTGCACAGTTCTGGATGCTCTTAAAGTTGTATCTCTTTCGACAGAAATCCTTATGAGGTTGATTTGCTTCGTTTAAATATGCTGTAATACTTCACAGCTACTCTGGCATGCAGCTCTCCCGCGCAAAAAGAAGTGGCAGACTCATTATTGGATCTTGCTTTAGCCAGTGGGGAGTGTGACGAGGCGCTGTGGAGTCGGCTAATTGGGGAAACTCCTGGTAATTTTTTTTTTAATGAATATCACACCTTCCACTACACCGTTCCAACAGAAGCCGAGAGTACTCATTTCTACGAACTGTACCGGGCCACCATCGATATACACATCGTTAAGAACTTTTCCCGTTACGCCTCTCTCCTGCTTGTAAGTGGTCACGTGCTGGCTATCTTCTTCACTTTCCCCAATCGCGCTATATGTTGTGAAGAGCAACTGCAGCCTGAGCGCTCGCGTTCTCCACATTCTCACGCAAGTGACGGAGACGGCTGTGGGCGAACCTTCTTTGGAGGCCTATAGGACGTCGTTTGTGAGCCAATTGACGGAAGGCTTTGTGCGACATTCCGCCATATGGCAGGTGTTGATTTGTTGTGTTCATATATTTTCATCCTCAAGCCATGTGCAGCCCACTCAACCCTCCAAAGTTAAGACGGTCTCACTTTCTCTACTTAAAAACCTCATGCGCTTGGATGGATCTTTTATTGGGAGTCGGGAAAGGAACTCGTCTTTCCCTATACTCTTTGGGTGGCTATTCTCTCCTCTTGAACTTTCTTATTGTTCTGAACTGATACCACGAGATTCTACACTCATCTCCTGAAGGACGGGTTCATGTCGCTGAGTCTTAAGTTGAATGCTCTTCCTCTTCTTTCTGACTGGTTCTCGGTGTCAGAATCAGACGAGCCGGTCCTACGATCGAGCCTGGAACGGTTTATGGCTCTCCATTTTCCGCTCTATTCTTTGGAGTACCCTGAAAGTGAGGCTTTTATAAATCGGTTTTTATTCGCCAACCTCATCCATTGACTCACTTGCAGCAAGTCCTAGACGAAATGAATACCTTCACGCCGTGGAGCTGTTGTTTGCTGCTTTGACCAAATCGGAGAGCCTCATGTTATTGGATGTGCTGATCCTCATGTACTGCAAAGGTCCTTTTTGTTAACTGCGACGAATCACATGAAATAAATTTGACAGTACTGTAAAGAGAGCAATCATGCGCACTCCCACTTTATTGAAAGCGCGTTACTCCGCTTCATAACAAAATGCGCCACCTCAACCGCTGCTAAAGCACTGCAACTTTGTTTTTCTCGAGCCAATGATACGGCGGTTAGGCTTGTACTGGTTGGTTGCCTTAAACTTTTGTAAACACCCAATGGTAAAGCAGATCCAGGAGAACACGCGCATGAGAGTTATTTATAACGTTTTGGCATTATTTCTTCGAAATGTACTGCTTTTGTCTTTCCGTGTTATTGTTCCTGACACCTTTTGAGGTCGAACTTTCTGCTTTTGAAACTTTTTATCTCGCCACTGTCAAGCTCATTGCGGAGAACGCTGCCAAGGAATTTACAGGGGAGATGAGCTCCGCAGTCTTGGTACCTGCTACGTGTTCTGTTAACATGCACAGCATTGCTATCTCTACTCTCCGCAGGACGCTTTGTTAACCAATAAGATGAAAGCGTTCGAGCTTGTACGCGTTCTTTATTCGGTTGCGCCGGTGTCATTCGGTTTATACTTTTGCTTATGCGCTGGAGTTGGCGCAAGTGGAGCTCACGACTTTTTTTTAAAAAAAAAAGTGCACTCTCAAAAAAGCACGCTCGTTTCCACGTTTTGTGCCCCGCAGGAAGTCGTCACCGGAAAGGAGCTGACCATGCATTTAGTGAAAGGTCATCCGACTTCTGTTATAGTTTCTTTGTATATCTTAAAGTTTTTCAGCTGCGCATACCGCAAAAACGGTGAAGTGGCCTCTCGCTCCAGCAAAGAAGGAAAACAAACTCATGTACTACCAGGTGCCATCTCATGCTTTTTCCCTGCGTCTCCTTATTTCTAGTGATGCCGTGCAATTCATTAGACGGCGTACAACGCGCTGGCGGAGATCGTAATGCGCACGCAAAATAAAATAGAATTTTACAGCGGCTTTCTTTTCGAGGAACATAAGTATATTGGTTCCGAAAGTGCGGACCATTCAATCATTGGTCTTCATCTATAAGAGCACGTGGCCAACTTGTGTTCGAGCGATTGGTCGATTTGGACCACACATGGATATATCCGGTTCAGCTGGACGCTCCCTCTTCCTTCGTCCGCACTAATAGATGCCTAAGGTGGCCCGCGCTCTCACGCTCTAGTTATTCGATAACTTTTTTGTTGGTTGCATTTTTAGCCAAGGACAAGCGGTCAGCGACCCCTCAAACCACGTGCTTATCCACAGCAGCTTAAGCGTTGATGCTTCTATGTTTTCGGCGTTTTCTCAACTGCCCGGTATGCTGGAGGAGGTCTACGATGGCAGTCAGCAGCTGGTCTGTACGGTAATACACTACTGGCGCTTATGGTGCTAATCGTAGCAGACATTGGACAAATACGAACTTCCGGAGATGCCCGCCGACCTCATCAACCAGAACATGTGCATGCCCACTCTTTTAGCCGTCATCGACCGCATCGAATATTATATAATGAGCACGAGCAAAATGGAGGTGCTAACTCTCTTATGCTACCCCAAATATTGGGGGTTCATGATTTTTTGTGAATGGCAGGAGCCGCCTCTCTGGATGGTGCAGTTGCTCAAAAAAATGAGCGTCGATACGCACATAGTTTTTGCTCATTTCATCGTCTAGACGAGCAACTCGTTAAGACTTCTCCTTTAGAACGTCCGCCTTTTTGTCGCCAAACTAGTTTGCAACCGGCCCGGTGTCTTTTCGCCTTTCGCCAACACGTGGACTAAACACTTTCTTCGGTTGGTCCTCGACTACGCACGTTTCTGCGGGAACGGTAGCGCTTCTTTCCGTTCGTGTGCTTCTTTGCTACTAGTACTTGAACGAAGGCATCAACCTTTTCATGGTGGAGATGTTTTCTGTGATTCTGAGTTGGTTTTATCCGGGCTCCCAAGGAGACATCCTTTCCACTGCAGTCGGTAGAGTCGAAGGCTATCCTTCATTAAAATTTTTTGGTTACCTCTACTTTTGGCAGACCCGACGTACTCGGACAGGGCGGTGTTCTCAGAAGTGTTCGAGTTTCTACTGAAAAACTCGCACGAGGAGAAGAGTATGTTAGTTTCCCTCTTCTTTGCAACCAATGCGTTATTAGTGATAAATAGCAACCAACAACAACCTACTTTTGCTGCGAATGCTCGTGGAAATATGGAAGGATCACTTGGATGTCCCTACTCAATTGCTCTACGATTGGTACACAGACGTAAAATTACAGCAGCGAACAATTTACGGGCTGCGTGCTAAAGGCTAACGGAGTCCAATAGCCCTCGAATGAACCTTCTTGGGGTTCAAGTGACAGGTTGCGTGCACGGGAGCCTTCCCATTACCATGTGTTAGTATTTTTTTTCTTAAGGAATGGTACTGGTGAACGAGGTTTCCGGCTTCTTGGACAGGTACATGATACAGTTGCTCTCGCACTGCTCTTAGTCAACAGGGGTGTGCCCTCGTTTTGCAGTTTTATCGGCATTTCGGTAATAGACTATTTCACTTCTGTGATTGGTTTAATGGAGGACCAGCATGTTAACGTACGACTTGTATTCACTTGGCAAACCCTGTTGACGGTAGTTCACGCTTTTATTAGACCGCCAAGCAATCCGCTGAGGTATCCGGAATAGCCCTACGATTTTTGAGTGGCAAACACTTGGCTAAACTGAACGCTCTGCTAAGCAAGGCCACCACTGTTATTGGTCGAAGTCTGTTTACATGTGACCTTTGGATGTGGCTAATCTAATTGACAGGGGGCTTGTATACGTCTGATCTCTCCCGTTTTATTGTGTGCTTACAACTTGTTCACCTGAACTTTCCTCCCTTGGTGGATCGCTTCCTCAATGAGCTCTTCTACGTACTGCCCCGCTTGCATGGTCCACCGAAAATATCGTGAGGCTGTTTCTAGTATTGAGTCTTTACCAAAAAATAAAAGGAAAGCAGAAAGCTTTTGTTTTAGAAATGCTGAACACTCGAAGTAGTAGTATACCCACGCTTTACACCACCCTGAAGCCTTTTCTGAGCGAACTTTTGCATAGTAGCGAGCCTCTTATCGCGCGGTAAGACCGTTTTGGATCCCCCGGCTCATCCGCTTATCATGGCCTCTGCAGGTACACTGTTATGATTATGAAAAGTTGTGTTGAAAAGGGCCTATCAGAAAAGGAGCTTACCACCGCGGTGGCCCTGTTGTGTCCACTCGGTATGAGTGTGCTTCCTTTCCTCATTAGATTTTGTGCGACTAGACTGCCTCCAGTTGAAAAGGATCTATTCGACAGCGCCGCCTTGAAAACCGTCATAGAGATCTTCGAATACCTGCACGACGAAGAGCTCTTCTGCGGCGGAGCTGTTCGCACTGTCCTGCTGAAGGGTTGGTGAGCTGCTGCAAACCGTCCTTCAGCTCTCCACGTTATTATACTCAAAGGCCTTTCGAATGCACACGCTGCCATTCGGGCGCAGTGCCTTGCTTTTTGGAGCAATCGGAACCGACTTTCTTCCAAGTTAAAAGTAAAAAGGAATGCTACTTTCCACTAAGAGGTCCTCCTTTTTACTGAAACAAACAGAAACGTATGGGCGAACTGCTCGAGACAATGTACTGTATAGAAACCGAGGACGAGTATGTGAGTTACTGCTGCGCTTTGCTATTAGGTAAACCCTAAGTACCCTTTTTTAATGAGTTTGACGAGATACTGACGGCTGTTTTACCTAAAGACCTTTGCGAAGGCAGCCCCGACTACGAGAGGGCTCTCTTCGATGCCCCGCTCTCAAAGGTTTAGCAGTGTTTCTCCCAGTTCCACTCCGCACCCCAACTTTTGGTTCTCGAGTGCAACTTTGAAGTTCTCCACGTGGATCCCTCGTGGCAAAAGAGGAACTATATGACTTCGCTTTATGCCTCCACTCAGCTGGTTTTCATTGTTATTGCATAAAGCAGTAACTATTGGCCGGTATTAATGTTGACCGAGAAGTTCAGGTTTCCGGCAAGTAGCAGCACAGGACCTTCCTCCTCCGCTAGGCTTCCCTCTGGCATGTTGCGGGCGACACCCCTCTCTACTAATTTACTAGACCTTCCGGGTATGAAAATCATTAGACTTAATTATTAGCGTACTGAAGCAGCTTAGAGGGCCCAGTCGCCTCAACGCCCGGCGCCTTGGGCTTCTCGCTTCCCGACGACTCTGTGGGCAGTCCATCTGTCCTTTACCGAAACGACTACAGAACGAAGTTCATTACCACCTGCAATTCTGCAAGCTTCAAGAGCCACTTTACTATATATTTAGGTTTCTTCAGCAGCTGCAGAATTCTAACCAACAGAAGCTTGCCGACCCTCTACACCACTTGAGAATTGTTGATATTCTTAATATCGACCAATAGTTACTCTGAATATACATTTCTGCTTTAACTTAGGCGGAGTGCAGACAGCTGAAGCGTAGATTCAACTACCCACGCAGCGGCAGTGAAGCATCGAGCTTTCTTCATACGCGAATAGCTCATAAGAAGCGAGATGTCTTAAATGATGCATAATATCTTCATTATATATTTAGTGGGATTCACAAATTTTGCAGCGGCGTAGACTTCAAGACGTTCACGATAGGCTAGCCCAACAGCACAGCGTCTCACTCTTCAGGTTATCCCCTCTGACCCACTGAGGTCCCGTCGTTCCCTACACTGCGCCATCCTAGGAAATACCGTACTGGAGACCTCCCGGATATTCAGATAAAATATCGCGACCTGATCGCCGTACGTTCTTCTCCTTCGTTTGCGCTGTGTGACTTCCAACGATCCACCGCCTTAGCCACTCAAGCGACTAGTACAGATGGATAACTACATTGCAAGGCGACTATTGGCTTGTATCGTCCACAAAATGGTCGAGTATTACGAGTCAACGCTACCCGCACGCGCCGCTGAGGAGGCCGTCGCACCCCTGGCCCAGAAGATTCAGGCGCTGAGTCAGTTTTCGCCCGTTCCGCTACCTTCTTAGTGTTTGAATTTCTCTGACAGCTGGCCAGGCCTCTCTTTCCTCCCCGATGTTTGTAGCATTTCTATTGGATATTTGCTACCACGTGGAACCAACCAGTATAGCGCCAGGCACTCTCGGACACTGTGGGTTAGTGGGGCGTGTTCCGCCCTACTTTCCACTATCTGATAGTCGGTAATACGAGCAGGAGAGAAACCCTTAACCAACACTTGGCGATCATGCTTCTGGAAAAGCAGCTTTCCTCCGGGGGATCCGAGCCCGCCCTCCCCTTCCCTAAAGTTAGTATCCCTCTTTGCTTCATATGCGCTTCTATTAACCTTCAACTAGAGAAGCCGCGTGAACGAAGGCCGCCCTCCTTCTCTGCACAAAGAGTTGTGGTTTGAGCTGGCCAAGGTCTCCACTTTTTCAGCGGTAGAAGCTATTTCCGTTCTACTCTCACTCCTACACAGTTGTATAAGTCCATTCAAGAGTACGATGTGATTCGCGGCATTCTCGCCTCTAATTTTGTGACCTCCTCTCCGTTGGGCCTTTCCAATCCTTTTGTTGTGCCTTCCCTTAAAAATTTAAATGTATTCCAGCGTCTTCAAAGAGGCTATTGAAGCAGAAGCGCAAGGGGACTACAGTCTGGCGTGCGACTGCTATGACCAGCTCCATAGCGGCTCTGTATCAGATAACTTTGAGGTCTTTCAAACTTTCGCTTGCTCACTTTCGCTTTTTACTGGCTTTAAAAAAAGTTGAACTTTGTCGAGAGTGGCCTCTTAAAGAGCCTCGAGATGCTTGGAAAATGGCCGAACGTGAAAACTCGCATTGACGAACTCTGCGGCTACCAGCCAAACTTCTGGAAGAGGCTATGGGAGCTCAACGTAACGTGGCATGTGCGCATGTACTTTTGTTTTAACACGTGGTGGATCACCGACAGGACCTCGACTTTGTGTCCCAATTTGTGAAAGCTCATTTGAAGTGCACTGCTGGCCCCCCCTCTCAAACAGACGACCGTCTTCGTCTATTTATAGCTCACTCGCTGCAAGACCGCCATTACAAGCCACTCATGCGTGCACGCTTTGGAGTGGTACGACTCTTCGTTTTCGGCCTTCCTACTTTTATTATATTTCTTCTTTGCAGGAACTGGCACTTTTTTTCGTTGTAGAAAACGAGCACGACCGCGCAAGGTCTGACGTTTTATTATCCTTGTTAGCACTTTATAAGTGTTTTACGGGGCCAAAAAGGTACTTTTGTAGGGAAGGGTTGCACTCTTTTCTGGAGGACTGGAAGAACCTTCCCCACCTGAAGACCTCGAGGTTTCTTGTTACAGCCCTTTCCAGACCTTCACGGCCCATATATGGACAGTCGTCAACTGAGGCTTGCAAACCTGCAGCCATTGGTTGAAATAGAAGAGTTTCTGATTTTTCTGTCCACACACACCTCTTCCAAGAACACCACTGCCCTCGCAAAGTAACGTGCAGCCTCTTCGCGACTGGACACCTCTGTCTATTTCCGTCACGTTTGTAGGCTACTGTCGCGTTGGGCAGCCCGACTCCCTCACAAAACATCGCACCAAACGGATGTATGGGACGACTTGATTTCCTATAGATTCCTGTTATTAAACATTGCGCTCAATGCCACTAACGTGACTGAAGAACAGGAAAGCTTGATAGTCGAGAGCAAGGTCTGGTGGCCTTCCCCGCCTGTTGTGCTTTTGGGCCCCTCTTAATTTCTCTTACAGGTGTCCATGCTGCTAAAAGCCTCTGCAGCCTGCCGCCACCAGCAAAACTTCTCATTGGGGATGAGGTGAGCTGCTCTTTTGGCATTGTGCGCCGTCTCATCTTCTCATACGCTGGACAGGTACCAAAGACAAGCACTTGCTTGCATGCAGCAAATGAGCAAAGAGAACCGGGTTTGTGAGAGAAAGTCGCTTAACTTTTTCGCCTATCTTAAATCTCTTCTGTAGGATTACGTTGCCACACTGCATTCCCTCACAAAACTTTCTTGTGCAAAGGCAAAATGCCATCTTCGTCTTAAGAGTCACTACTCTTCGGAGTCTGCAGCCGCTTCTTTGCTAAAAGTAACGTCCTTCATTCGTTTACAAACGCATGATTTTCAAAACTTTCGATAGGCGCTTGGCGATTTAAAGAACTTTAGCAGCGACGACCAAGTGACAAACGATCCGTTGATATTTCAGCGGCATTGTCTGCTAAAATGTCGCGTGCTGGGTTTGTTGGAACAACTTTTTCGGAACCCTTCCTTTAATATTGGAAAGCTCGACCCCAAACTTCTTAATTGTCAGTGACACTTTGAGTTTTCTCGACTCAACTTGAAGGTGTATTCTCACAGTCGTCAGTGGAGCAAAGGCCGCCCCGCACCTGCACCAGGCGTGCTTGGAGGAATATTACTCCTCATTACAGCATGCCTTGAAAAGCCCAAAGGGGGGTGTAAGTCATTTTCTCGTACACTATGCCCCAAGTGTATTTCCCTTGGGAAACTTTTAGTGCGGCCAATATGCAGCAAAGCTTCATCTTACGATGGCAAAATTCTGCGATAAAGCTCTTTCACACTCTTACTCGGTGCCCGTACCTGCCAACGGACCTCGAGCCCTATCAAAATTGATGATCTCTTCAGTTTTCCAAGCCATGCATTTGGGCTCGAACTCCGGTTGCATGCCGCTCTGCACGCTTTAGTTTCTCTCTCTTACAGTGAACTTCAGCTGCGAGTCGCGTGCCTCGCCTTTTGCATCTGCTCGCTAAGGATTCTCAATTGACCTACAGTTTCCGTAAGGAATGCGAGGCGGCTCCCTGTTGGATGTTTATACCGTGGATTTCACAACTGGTTTACTTCGTTTCGAAACTGCTACACACTGGCTTAATGAACTCTAAAAGGTTGCCATATTAAGCAAGACGGAGGCTGCAGCCGTCATTGGTCTTTTCTATCTGCCATTTGCTTCCGTGTGCTCTATAAGTTTTCCATGCAGGGCCACTAAAAAAAATAGGGAAGTTTTACCCCCAAGCCCTGTTTTATCCGCTCCGACTCTGTTCGAAGCACGACTATGAAACAGTCGCCTGGAAATGTGCCCATTTCTCATGACCCCTTCCAGCGCGCTAGTCTTTCTTTATATTTCCAGACGTTGAGGAGCTCCAGGCACTCTCCCACCACCCGTACTTGGACCGTATGATTAAAGAGTTGCGCACACTAGTGGATCCTGTCCGTTTCTCACGTATATCTTGTGGAACTGACAATGACTTTCTTTTTCTACACAGGAACACCTGTTCAAGGATTGGTATATTAACGACTTGAAACCGTTGTTTGCAGCACCCCGCACTTTGAGAAATGAAAATAGAATAATGAAGGAATTCTCGAAGATGAAAGTCGATTTACTGGTGAGTTACAGAGTCGGGAAGGAGCATGGAGAGTTTTGCTACACTCTTTAACTAACAGTCTATGGAAGACTGCCCATCTGATGTCCGAAAGCGCTTTGCACTCGAGTACGGCCCCCAAATTGAAAAACTTGCTGGGGTTGACGGCGCCCGGCTTTTAGCGCATGCAAGGTACACAATGAAGCCTAATTCTAGCAGATGACTCGTCAACACCACCCTAACCTACTTAGCAACGACCCATTTGGAGCAGTCCTCGAAGCCATGCAGCAACGTTCTGACTTCGTGGCTAGGCCGGAGACTTTGAAAGAATACTCTCTCTGGTTGGCTAGTTACCACTCATCCAATTTTAAAGATCACCCCATTGAAGTTCCAGGTTCTCCAATGGCTGAACTGTAGCTTACAAAGACGACTTAACTTTTTTATAGGCCAGTACACTGGACGTTGTAAGCCTATTGTCGAGTCCCACACGAAAATTTGTGCCTTCGACGACCGTATCAAAGTCCTGATGTCCATGAGAAAACCAAAGCGCCTACTTATAAGGGGAGACGACGAGCGGGTCTATCCTCCCTCCCCCTATTTGATATATTCTCTTCTCTGATTAGCTCTTCGAATAGGAATATATGTTTCTGGTCAAAGGAGGAGAAGATCTCCGCCTTGACCAGCGCCTGCAGCAGCTCTTTACCCTCATGAACGAAGCTCTATACAAGGTTTCTTTCTTTTTTAATGTCTAGCCATGCACAAGAAGAAGTGCATATATCCAGGACACGGTTGCAAGACAGCGAAGCCTCTACCTGCAAACTTACCAGGTCGTTGGTCTTCTTCCGACTGACACTAACGTTCGCGAGCCACGCATGCAGGTGATTCCGGTGTCGCTGAGGCTTGGATTGATCGAGTGGATTAAGGAAACAATTACCCTCAAGGTTTGCTGCGTTGTTAGTAACGCTCTTCGTGGTGGTGAGTTACGCGTTTTTTTTTCACTGGTTATAAGGAACTGCTGGAAACTGCTTTGACTTCCGAAGAGAAAAGCCGGCTGAAGTCACCAGAAAACAATCCAATTCGAGCACACATCAACTGGATTAACCGATTTAAAACAAAGAAGTTGAGGCGTCTCCTACTTGCTCTTTTTATATTACCGACTCTAGTTTGTCATTACTTTCAGGGCTGATGAGAATCCTTACACCCGAATGTACATGCTGGCCTCTAATTCGGAAACGACGGTGCGTACTATGCGCTATACAGTAACTTGTGTTATATTTATTTCATAAAATAAAGGCGGCCTTCCGGCACCGGCGGGATATGGTCCCGCGTGACTTGCTCCGCAGAGCCATCCTTAAGAGGGTTAAGTGTTCGCTTCCGCCTCCTTTATCCAAGAGTAATCCAACTGAGTAGATAAACGACCGGGAAGCCTTCGTGGCTATAAGAAGCGACTTTATTCGGAGCCATGCTACTCTTTCTATTTGCCACTATGTTCTCGGGTCAGTTACTTTTTTTATAATACACTGTCACCCCTCATTTTATTAATCACGAAAAAGGATAGGCGACCGGCACTTGTCCAACTTTATGTTTAACCTGAGTACTGGAAGAATTATAGGCATTGACTTCGGCCACGCCTTTGGCTCAGGTTTCTTTTGTCCGCCCGTTCCACGCTGTTATTAACGCCTCTACCAGCCACACAATTTTTGCCTGTACCGGAGTTGATCCCTTTCCGGTTGACCCCTCAAATAGTGGGTTTCCTTTATCCGCTCACGACCGAAGGGTACTCTTTACATATTCATGAGTGTATGTTTTATTATTGTGTTGTTAGCCTTTTAAGGAACTCGATGATCATTACAATGAACGCTTTACGCCGGCGCAGTGCAGTGCTTTTGAGGACTTTGGATGTCTTCGTTAACGAGGTTTTCATGTAATGAGGGTGGGCTGTGGTTCCCCTAGACAAACGTTACTTTAAGCCTCTGTTCGAGTGGCGCAGTCTGTCGCGTGGACAGGCGGGGTCCCAAGCAGAGCTGGAGCTGCATGCCGGAGTTGACCATATAAAAGGGGAGTGGTATCCACGAGAAAAGGTGCGCTTTCTATTCGCTGAGTTATGACCGTTTGACTGTTTAACTTCTGGTTGGTCAGTTGTCCATAGCCGAACAAAAGCTGGAGTCCCATAATTCTTCTTATATTATGGCCCTCGAGATTAAAGCTGGCCACGGCCATAAAAAAGAGGTCAAGAGTTTTCCTTAAAATAAGTACAAAGTTTTGAAGTCTTTCAACTTTTAGTGCGAAGCTCTGTTAAGAATAGTTCAAGGAGATCCAAACATTAACGTTCGTGCTAAGGTGGGGGCGATTTGCAAGAACGTGGAAGAGCAAGTCGACTGTTTGATTGATCACGCAACGGATCCTAATATTTTAGGAAGGCTTTGGGTGGGCTGGGAGAGCTATATGTAACACGGTGGGTTTAATAAAAAAAGAATCTCTATTATAACTTCATTGGAGGGATCTTTAATGTTCTCTGATAACTAGTCCACTCATAGCTTTAAAATAACCTTAGAAGTAGCCCAGAAGTTCAAAGTAAATCCCAGACTAGCTCCTTTAAGTCAAATTTTACAGCTGGATCTCTTAATAAGTGGTCCTCCTGGTTACACATCACCATCCTTAAACTCGTTCAAAAAAATTTAAAAAGAATAAACAATATATACCGAACAAAACCGAACAGAGTCATAATTTAAACAATGAATTGCTAATAAAAACTGTGAAAAGATTTTATAAAGTTAAAAGTTACTGAGTTCCGAAATTATTAGAAACTCTCGCGACTAGTAAGTGCGGAAAGATGAAAATTTGCAATAAAAAAAAAAGTTGAATTTACGTCCTGAAGGAAGCCAAAGTGATATAAGTAGTTTAAATACATGTACAACCTAAATAGATTAACTGTTCGCACAAAAGTATTTACTTCTTTCAACTAATTAAAAATTATAGAATAAGTAGCGTAAATGCCAACAATCAATAATAAAATTAGTCCGAGTATAACAGGAACAAGAACGGAGTATTCCTTTGGTATGGGAAAAAAAGAGAGCAAAAAATGATCTTTTTCATCTTCCAGAAAAGGAGTCATAAAAAGCCAAAGAGTATAATACGTATAAGCAACCAAAATAGCATAAAGTAATATAAATCCCTGCGTCCTACTCCGCATTACGTAAATAAAATTCTCGGAGTATCATAAAACGGAGCACAGAAGAAATAGCTACTTAAGTACATTTAATTACTATAAAAGCACGTGACAAAATTGTAGCAGCTGTGTAAAAGGTGAATACCCTCTCAAATTCATATTTACACTTAAATAATTCTACACGCAAGCACTAGGTTCTTGTTAAAGACAAAAAAGTGATGCCTTATATAAGTGTGGTCGCAAGGCATTCCTTTTAAAATTGTTTTTCTTATATTACATCCTTAACAAAAGCACTTACTTAGCATTATTTCTACGCATAATAAGAGCAGGAATTAGCAGTGCATATACATCGGTATAATAACTTTATACTTCTTTTAACTTACTATATTATTTTTATTTCTCTTTATTCGCTATTTATTATTTTATATTTCGTTCTTAGTTGTTAGTCTGAAATCTTTTCCTAAATTTAGGTTTTTTTTACTTTCATACTTATGTTTAGTATATTAGTAAGCGGGTGTACCGAAAGAAACCGTTTGCTGTTTATTTAAATTTTTTTAACAAAGGTTTTAAAAAGCGTTAGTAAAAAACCATTAAAAAAAAATTTAACACCTTTGCGCCCTTATTTTTTTTTTTGTTTAAATTTAAATAAATACACATTTTTTTTAACTTTTTAAAGTTTTCATATTTACTTCTTTGATTTTATAGAAAGCAAATCCTTTTCATTTAGCAGTTAAGTATTGTAACTATATTGTCGCTTGGGACTATTTTGGAATTTTTATCGCAATATCTTTAATATGTTGCTATTTTTAATTGATATGCAAGCCGAACCGACCTCTCCTTCTTTTGAGACGTTTCATTTGAGTACTTTTTATTTTTGACTTTGAGAACGTTTATTTTGCTTTTAAATACAAATTAATAGTAAAAATAATATATTTATTTGTGTTAAAAAAAAAGGCTTTATGCTTGCTTGTTTTTTACTAATAACTTGACTAGTTATTGAAACTATTTTAAATGAACTAATTGAAAACAAACAAGAAGAATTAGTTTCTGCATCTTATTTTACGCTGGACTTCACTTCTTCCCTTAATAAAATTGAAACATATAAACAACCCGAATTTCGTTCTGTTGAAAATTTTAAGCGTTGTTTACCTCAACTGTATCTCTTCACCTCTTACTTGCCTTTAACAGTTTTATTAGCCAGTTTATTTTTAAACAATTTCTTAAGAACTTTTTATTATTTTTATTTACAGAAAGACGAGCATTCGAACAAATGGCAACAGTGTCGGCCTGAAACAGTTTGTTGAGTTTTCTTCACAAAATCTGTCAAAAACCTCTTTCGGTCACTCTCCACTGGATATTATCATAATTTCCAACCGATGTGTTCAAGGTAAGTGCCCTTTACTTAAAATAACTATAAACAGGCGAGTGTTAATTTCATCTACTGACCTTTTTGTCCTTTTGTATTTCTATATTAGTTATGCTTTTCGCCTGTTTTAAATGAAAAATTTTTATTATAAAAAAAATTACTTTATTTCATAATATTTTTTCTTTTTTACTTTTCATAGCGTATCCTCTATTAATCTTTTATAGTTATTATTTATGATTTTCTGCGTTAGTTGGTTTAATAGTGTCGTAACTTTTTCAAAAAAGTATATACAAAGACTTAGTATAAAACGGGTTAAAAATCTTCTTTCAAGTTATCAGAAAAAGGAGAGTAATTTTTCTTTACTAAAATTTGGCTGCAATCACAGCAACTATTTTTCTGCTATATAAACTTTGAATATAGTTTTAATTTTTTTATCCATTTTAGTATCATCTGTTGTTTTTAAGTATACTAGTTGACCGGGTCTTATATGTTTGCTACGTTTATTTTATTTTTTTTTAGATTTTTCTAGTCAGCGATTCGATCTCTCCTTGGGCCATAAAGTCAGTTACATGTATGTCAAGGACGAAGACACCAGCCTTAAGAGAAAGCATGAAGAAATGCACGAAGAGATTTTTTCTGCACAGTGTTCTCAAAATTTTAGTCAGTGCTCCAACTGGGTTATTTACAATTTTCAAGCAAAGGGAGATTTGCAGTTCCATTATAATTTAATCAAACGTTTCATTGTTAGTCTTAGTAAGTTTTTAATAAAATAAATTTTACTATAAATTTTATTAATTACAACAACCATGCAAGATTTAAACTGCCCTTCTGCTTTAGTTTTCGGTAGTTATTCTGCTGAAATTTCTCTTTTTCCAAGAGCTATACAAGTTAATTCCTCGGGTAATCCTTTTTACTCTCCAGTTGAATGTTTTTTTAGAATCCTTCAGCTTACTTGCAAATAGTTTTACCCGAACATTCGGTTTTGTATTTTTTATAAGTTGAAATTTAGTATTTTTACTCTACTTAATGTGCAGGCAAGAAGCAAATCTTTTTTAAAAAACTTAGTATCTGCGGCTTCCTTAAGCGGGATGAAGTGGGCCTCTTTCCTTTCATAAGCCGCCACGCAATTAAGTTTTTAAGATTATTTAATTTATTTTTGGTAAGATCTTTCTTCTATTATTTCCTTAAGATTTAAAGGACCAAAAGATGGTCCTTTGGAAGTCTCGCTCTGCTTGGGTTTATCAAATTCTAATTATGTTGCGGTTGTTCAGTGCAGTTCGGACTGGTTTGGCTTCATTTTGCCAGTAACCTTGGAATCTCAGCGCACTGGTTGTCGGTTTTGAAATGTTTTTGTTTTCATTTGAGAATTTCTATTAAAAGTGTTAGTATTGCATCTACTTGAGTTTGGCACTGAACTCGAGTGGTTGGGCACTTTTGAAAATTTAACTCACGGTTATTTTCAATTCGAAATTCTTTTAATAAATTTTTTTAAAAAAATATAAAAAACAGTTGAAAATAGCAAAGAAGTCATCTTTCGACCAAAAAAACCATCTACCTCAAGTCGTGATTTCAAATCCATTTACAACGGAGTTTATTTTTCTGATGACGTACTGGTTTGTATTTCTTTACTTTACTTGCATTCTTTAAAATTTTAACTAATTTCTAAAAATAATAATTTAGAGCGAATTGTCGAAATGTCTAAGGTACTTGCACAGACTTCCAGCAAAGCTTGTGCAGTTTTATTCCGCGTAATTGTTTAATACCGTAAGGCATCACACGTGTATTTTTCAGATATTTGCTTTATTTAGAGTTGACAAATTCTTAATTATTGCCAAAACTTACAAACACTACTACTTAATTGAGAAATTTATAAGCTTATTAGATCAACATTTGAGGTTTGTTCACGCTTAATCAAGATCATATAAAAATTGCTGGACTCTATAATATAGAGAGAGCCGTGCAACTGGTGAGGCTAGAGAAGTTATAATAAGCGTTTCTACTAGATTAACGCATGAGCTTGAAACTACATCACATTTTACTTGAAACTTTTATTCATAATTTTTAATTATTTTTATCCGTGGTTTGTAAGAAGGTTATTCTTTTAAAAATTAAAGGTTAGTACAAAAAAAAAAATTCGGAAAATTACATCGCCTTAATACTTATTAATTTACTTGATGGGAGCATTTGTTAGCGTATTGGTTCATGGTTGTTTGATTATTTGGAAATATTTTTTTAAACCGAAAAAGTTTGATTTTTTTTAGAAATCCAAGTAGTTTTAACTTGTTTAACAAAATTTTGATTACTTATCGATTTTTGTTGGCGTGTAGCGGTTTCTAGCAGATTCTTTAAATTACTGTATATTTTTATTACAAAAATTTGCTTAAAAAAAAAGAGAGGGATAAAGAATTCTAGCAAGTGGACAAGACATAGAGACTCACGCATTCCAATATACTTCTTAAGTTTAAAGACTGAACACTAAAATTGTTTTATTTATAATATAAAAATACTTATAAGAATGGCAAGTGCAAGCAAAAAAAGGAAGGAGGGATAATTTTATAATAAGTTAGATCTTATCAAATATTTTTTAAAATATTGTAAACTTTCAAAATAGTCATCTTGCAGTTTTATACGATGCCGAGTATTTTGTTGGTTAAACAATCCTTTTTTTTTAATCTTTAAAAATCAGCGTCTATAGCTACGTCAAATAAAATTTTATTTTTTTCTCCATCCTGTAAATCTTTAGTTTTCTTAAATTATTATAAAGTTACACTTGTTTGTAAAATTTTTCTTCCCATTTTGTGATGTTCCCCATAATATTTTCTTTTATATTTTATTACTTCTTGTATGAATGTGTGCACTAACTAAATTATGAATTTTTGTTTGATTAAAAAACTGGTTGTAGCGTCTACCAATCTTACTGGTGTTCCTTTGATTTTTAATATTGTCAATAATAATCTAAACAAGTCTATTTCAACTCCTTCCTCTATAGATCTGCTTTCCATTTTTAAAATTAGCGAAATATATATAAAACTCACAGCCAACAGTTTTATATAATTTTATGTTCGTCTTGTAAAGACCATTAATCGGTTCGTGGTTTTTCTCTTTTTCCGGTTGTTAGTAAGAAAGACTGCATCTTGAATTTTAATAGTTGAAACGATCTTTATATGCTTGTTGTCATGTTACACGAAGTCTAAATAACTCTTTGATTCAACTTAAAAAGGTGTGTGTTTGTCAGAAAAGCACAGTGTAGGCCCTTCTCAGCTTAGTTTTTCTTTTAACTTTTAAATATCCTCTTCCTATCTGCACTCACTACCACAGATATTTAATTTTTGTCTTTACTACTAAATGTTACGACTTATATAAGAAAATGAAAGAATAAGATTCATTATTTTTAGTTTGGGTTTCATATGTAAATATAAAAAGCTAATTAATAATATCGGTGAATTTTTTTTTGGTTTACTAAAGTTTACTACTTTTATATGTGCGGAGATTTACTAGTTTGTAGAAACAGTCAAAAAAGTTTTTAAGAATACCAGCTTTTAAACTGGTTCTAGAAATAATGCCGACAAACCTGTTATGCTGAGCTTTATCACAGTTGAAAAAAAAAGAGGTGAGGAGAATTTAGTGGAGGGATCACTAAGAGGTAAGAGATGCAGGATCCCGAAGCGAACGGTGCATAAAGCCTTGCAGGTTTTTTAGATAGGTGCCGGATTACGGACTTGGGGCTAGGCTCTTACGATTTAGAAATTAGATAAAATGTGTATTCCTTATTTAAAAAAAAAAGATATGAGGACTTGTGATTCTAAATCGTATTCGTAATTTTATCCGGCAAATCAATTAACGCCTGTGGGTGATGTAGTAACAGGGAAAGAATTATGGTAAGACTTCTAACGAAGTGAGCTTACTGGCCTTTACTGCCTGAAGAAAGAGCATTAGAGACGAAGGACATCAACGCTTGTTGGGAGGTTATATAATACTAGTTGGAATCCAGACGTAAGAATTGGAACACTTAGAGCCAAGCTGGAAAAGAATGTGTCAAAGACTTTGACCAAATACGTAAAAGAAAGGTAAAACAAAGGCATTAGTGTTAAAGAATGCAATAAGCTACTTAATGCGGTTAGAAAATACTGTTAATTGGGATTGAATCCGTTGCAGGTAGCGAAGGGTGCTGTCACTCTTCAGATCTCGATGAAAGATGCTCAAGTAATACTTTATACTCAAAGATTTATATATACTTCCATTCTCTCATTTATATTTTCTAAATTTAAATCCTTAACCCTATAATGACCGTTAAATGTTATTGTTATATATGAGTGACGCTCAGCATTACATTAACATAAATGATCCACCTATAGACAAAAATTTATCGGTGAGTAAACCATTTGACAATTAAGTGTTTAGAATAACTTAAAACTCAATCTTAGTGAGCTATCAAAGTTCTTAAAAAAAGTTAGAAAGCCAAAAAGGAAAAAATTGATAGTCAATCCTGGACTCTTCAAGGGATATATCCTTTTGAAGTTTCTGCGAAAACCGCAAGTATTTTAAGATCGAAGAAACTGAAAAAGGAAATTATCCACAAGTAAACAATAATTGGAAACTAAGGAAATTTCCTAAACCACTAAAAATTAAAGTCGGGACTCTTATCTAAACCACTAACTGACCGCGCCTAGCATGCCCATTAAGCATGTGACCATGCAGCCGCCAAAGTTAACAACTATAAACTAAGGACTTACTTTCTGCAGTCGCATCCAAGTTAAGGTTGCTTCAACACGTCCCCCGCCAAGATAGAATGTGTAAGTTAAAGGTCCGCACAGGACGTGCGAGAGCAACGAGACGAGTTTCAGCCCGTACTCTATATACGAAGTTTTTAGGTCCTTAAATATATATAGTAAACATACACTTTTGATAAAGTTTGTTTTTTGATTTTTATATTTTTTAATTTTTATTAAGTATTATTACCTGTATAGTTTTATTAATGTTATTTGTGTGATTTTTTGTATATACATGATTATACTAATATAATTACATGTATAATAACATTGTGTGTATTTAATTGTACTCAATATGGATAATTTTTAACTTACCTAACAGATTAGTAATAGGATAGTTGTTAATTTTATTTTTAATTTTATGTTAGAGCAATTAGCTATAGAGTTTATTTAATTTATATTAAACTTTTATTCATTTTATTAATTCAGTAAATGCGCTATGGCGAGCCCAAGTAGAGTAGGATACAAGCTCAATAAAGCAACGAGGCACGATCAATGAACCAACGAGGAACGATCATACAGGCATCCTCCGTAAGGAAATGCTAATAGAAGTAAAACCGAAACGAAATAGTTTGTGTGAGATCTATTTGTGTATGCTTCATTATTAGCTATAAAGTCATTAAACTAGCGATAAGTTATTGTAAGAATTAAACTAGCTAAAATTTGCGTTAATTTACTTTCTCTAGCTTCAATTAAAGCTGGTTGATTTAACTTGATATAATTAATTTTTTAGTTATTAAACTAGATTTTGTCAGAGTTGGATTGATTACTAATATGATTTATTTTTAATTTATTTATTAGATTTTCATTTCATTCTGTTTTAAGTTAGCTTGTTAAAGTTTGTTTTATTACTTAAATTAATATTAGATATAATTAGGTTTAATAAAGTTATTTGATAAAATGTCCAATTGATATTAGTGTTGTTTTTCAAACTACATTTATTAAGTGATATTGCATAAGTTTCAGCGAGTTAACTGAGTTGATTAACTTAAATTAGACGATGACAGGTTTATTAACATCTAATTATTGATAATGTTCTCTATTTAGTTATGGTTTTTACAAACAAAGAATAAATTTTTAGTAACTAATGACATTTATTTGAGGTTTACTTCTTGCAATAAAGTTAACATTAATTTAAAGTTACTTTTATTCAATTGTTTCATAATTATAAGTTAAACTAAATTTTATTCATTAATATTTTAAAAGTAAACCTACGTATCGTATTTAAGGCAATCTTATAGAGTTTATTAAGGAATAAAGAACTACCTTGGTTAATAAGTAAAGTAGCACGTATGTAACTTAGTTGCTAATCTAACTAGTATACAATATAGAACTAGCCAAGTGTGACAGCTCAAAGTACTATCGTTATAATTTCAAAAGCCGCTATTTACCTTGCTTTAGTTAGCAAAGATCAAGCTACTACTTCCTAAGTTGTTATTTCACAATCTTAATGGTTCAATTCTTACCAAGAAGAGCAGGAAGCTTCCAGTCTGTTGAAGTAAATTAGGCCGACTAACAAAGCAAAGACAAGGTACTGCCATCGACGGTACGCCTAAGAATCAAGTTTCATGCTCTATTTCAATCCAATAAGGCTCTCTTTAAAATTTGCTTAACCTTGATTCAAATAGAGATCTGTTGGAGGTAGTTATAAACTATAAATAGTAAGATACAAGGTTAAAGTTATAAATAAGAAGTTAAATAATTTACTACCTCTAACAGATCTCTAGACCAATCGTCAATGCTAGAAAATTAGCACGAGATTACTACAACACGAAGGTAGCAGAGACTCGATTTAGAGTCTGGTCAAAGTTACAAATTACTTCCTAGTTTTGATATCATTACTAGTATCTTCCTAATATAGTTTAGAATTAGGTTCTTTAACCTTTGAAAAGTTATAACTAACTAACTAACAGTATAGACATGTTAGGTAGTTAAATGTTCTACCAAAGTAGAACGAAAGAAAAAAGTAAATATCAAAACTTTCTCTTTTCGATATCTAGGGGTCCCACTCTTTCTGCTTTCGCCTGTGAGACGATGTCGTAGACAACGCCTGTCGGCTCATAACATGAGTACACCGACAGGTCCACCTAGTGAACAAAGAGAAAGTTTTGATATTTACTTTTTTCTTTCGTTCTACTTTGGTAGAACGTTTAACTAGCTAACATGTCTAGACTGTTAGTTAGTTAGTTATAACCTTTCAAAGGTGAGAGTTTTCACGCGAAGGCCCTATTGTATTAGGCGTAGCCGCTGAGGCTGGTTCTCGCTCACCAAAAGGGATATTTTGTGGGATATTTTGTTTTTGTGCACACAAATTTTAATAAGTTTCTTCGGTATTAAAATAGTTCTGACTTGTGCCTACCTTTTTACTCTAACCCTAACCCTAGTGGAATTGGTATTGTTCCAACTTGGTGCTTTCCCTTTTTATTATAACCTTCCCTCCCTACTCCCTTCTCAACCCCATTTCAAGGGTTATGAACCAATCTAAATAAAATTTTTTTACATGTATTAAACTTTAAAAAATATATAAGGACTGCACCGGTTAATCTAAATGTCTCTCTCTGTTATTTTATTTCTTAATTATAATTATAACTACTTATAAACATAATTTCATATATCTAATTTTTTTCTATATTTTTCTCTAAAATTTGAATACTACTTAATCCATCTCAAATCGCGTTTTGTACGCCTCTAATTAGTAACTATTTATATTGTTTTTAATTTATAAAGCAATAGTTACACCTACTCTGGTTAGTAAGTTTATTTCCCTTTAAACTATTAATTATTTTTATAGTCACACGGTGGTGTTTTTTCTTTTCCTTGTGTACTAAAGCCACGATCAATGAAATCTTTGGGGGTTAAAATGTGGTTGGCATATATTTTTATGGGTTATTCGTAATGGCTGTCTTTTTCTAGCTTTCTCGGTCTTTAAGGTTTGTTTTAATAGCATTCAGTCTTAGTTTCACATATGGACTACTTTCCTTTACTAAATTATCGGTTATTCACATATCTTGGTTAATACTATTTTTACTCACTACGTTTTCTTTACTACCACTTGTGTCCGCACTAATTACTACGTCAGACACTTCCCTTGTACATTAACATTGGTTCTGGTCTCGAAATATTATCTTTATTAAAGTTAAACTTGTCAACTGAGTTTTGGTTGGCGCCACAACCCCGATGTGGTTAAATAAAGAAGTGTGCTCTGTATTCTGTAAATCTCCAGAGAAACTTCTGAAGATATTCATATTCTAAGTTTTAGATTTAAAACTCTATATCCTCTTTTAATGGTATTGAAGCTTTATCTTGTTTATAGGTAGCTCCTGAAATTTCAATTTTACTTCTTAAAGCTTGGTTTGCTGAAAATTTGTATAATTCTTTGGTAGAATCCTGTTTTGTTTTTGGGTAATTTCGTCGCAAAGCGAAGTGGATACGGCGCGCTCACTTTTATAATTCAATTCATTCCAAAATAGTTAGTCCACTCATTATAGGAAAGATCAAAACTAAGTTTTATGACAGCCCTTTGTTCAGAGTAAAAGTACAAGGGTCAAGGTAAGCTGCCTATAAAAGTTGATTATTAAACAATGTCTTTTAATTCTTCAAAAAAGGATGTTTATATAGGCAATAGACCTACGCAATAAAAGAATACAGCTGAAATCTAACAACATCAGAGCAAATATAGTTTTTAGATTGTGGATAAGTCTTACCTCTTTTATCCCGTGTCCAAGGTACAATTGAGTTTCGTAAGCAGTTAATTTTTACTTTTAAATACTATTTTAAAAAAAAAACTTTTTTTTCAAGTAGAGAAGCCTCTGAAGTAGGATATATCCTTCTGTAATTTTTTTATTCTTAAAGTTTTTATTGCTTCCAACTGTTTTAAAAATAGTTTAATGACCGTGCGCAAGCACATTCTCTATATTACCTAAACAACGCAGCTTTTGTTAGAGTAAACTTTGACCCGCTGGAGAGGTGAAAATTTCCGGAGCAGCCCTTGAAAAAGTTTCGATATGTCCTGTTAAATCTTTGTCATTGTCTTCTGAGTTTTAAGAGTAGAAGTTATACGCAGGTGTTATTCAAAAATTGAAAAAAGCTCTTCGTCAAGAAGAAACAAATTTACACATTCTCCTTAATAAATTCTTCTTTTCAGTTTTAAAAGATTTATTACTAACCAAAAAAAAAAACCATTTTCTTTATAATTTCATTTGAAAACGCTCTATCTCAGTTTTTTTAGAAAGGTAAAGAAGGAGAAGAGAATGCCTTTACCGAAAACTTTTTGTTAGGCCAGAAAGTCTTTTTGAAAAAAATCTATTGTAAAAACTCCCCCTATAAAAAAAGCTATTAGAATTATATCATATACGACCAAGTAAAACATATTTCGGTTATTAAAGGAATTCCCTATCTTACCAAAGCAGGATGCCTCTATCTTAAAACAATAATTGGCTACCTTTTTGCAAAGGTTACCTAATTGAAAATTAGGAGGCGTTGGCGTGTAGCTATGGAAGAGTGCCGTCAACTGCTCTCTGCTCTACTCTGACTAGTTGTAACGTAAAATAGTGCTTGGAACTAGAGAATATCGACTCTGTGGGAGCTTTTATTGATAGAATACGACATTAACTAGTCTATTGCGCCGCTCTCTTAGTGTAGTTCAGAACACTGAATTGACTTCCTATGTTTATTAAGGGGTAATGATGAACCTAGTTGTTTACTGGCTATATATTTGTACTCAAGAAATTACTTAATTCTTAAAGGGTTGTGCTTTATTTGAGCCTTTTAAATAACAAGCTTTATGCAGGTAGCTAAAGATAGATAGCCAAGATGGTTACACTAGATACTCAACCTAAATTTAATTTCTTGTGCTGATGACTGGATGAACAACGACAGTAAGAGGATAGGTAAGAAAAACCACTCGCAGCTAGTTATGTCAGAGAAACTTAGTTGTACCCCGCACTCCGGCATATGCGAGTAAAGACTGGACTTACCGACCTCGATCTTATTTAATTATAACGACTGCTCACCAGTTATTGCTAATAAATCTAACACGAAAGGCAGAAACCTATAAATTCTGTAAGTATGACCAGACTGATTAGCAGGTTCGCAGAAAGACCGAAGTCATTTACTATACGATGAGCAATTAAATAAGGGAATATCCGGAGCAGGGTCTAATTAGCTCCCTAGCTTTGGATACTATGCAGCCTTAAAATTATAAAAGGCAGTTGAAAATTCAGTCGATGGTTAGTTAGAATAATTTCCTTTTGCGGAAGAAGAAAAGCGATTCATGGTTGAACCCGAGCCAAGTACCTCTGTTAAATGGGAAATAAGGGACTCTGAGCATTAAAAAAGTATTATTAAACTTCTGAGGATCTGATTTAATTCAGAAATAAAGGCCCTTCTAATTTCAAAGTCTCCTCTAACCCAAATAAAACTATTAGATTAAATGACAGTAAAAAAAATAGATCCCTTTAGGGTATAAGCGATACGTATAAACTATAGCCTTATGATATAGTTAGTGGGCCCATTTACTAGAGTGTTCCTCTTTTCTTTGAAGAGAAATTGTTCCACTGATGGAGAATTTTTCGATACCTTTGGATAATTATTCTAGTCATTGAGTGGAGAATAACTCTGCCCACATTAAAAGTATTTTACTCTGCGAAAGCTCCAAAGACAGACTCACGATCCAATGCACGGAACAATGCCCATTTATAGCACCAAACTACACCATTGAGGTTTCCAGATGATTAACATGGTTTGAGATGTATATAATCTTTTTTAACAGATCATAAACAGAATATTTTTCTACTGAAAAGAGATAAAAAAAAGTATAATTCACAGTAGAAAAAACAGTGGTAGCATTATATGTGTTAATAAAATTATTTTTAATGTCAAGAATTTTACATCCAAACCGCAAATTGATAGTGGTGTTTACTTCTTTACATTTACAATGAAAAAAAAATTATGAAGTGGTGGAAACGTTTAGGGCTGCTAATTCTATTAGTCTTCAAATCGTGTGTAACTTAAAAAGTTTTTGTTAGTATAGTTACAATTATCTAAGTTATCATCATAAAGCTGTCTATGAACAAAGAAAAAATATAAATATTTAACAATTTTAGTTATGAAAGTGTGAATGTTTTTCTGATGTAAGTAGCATTCATTTAATGTATAGTTTAGTTTACTACTTAACTAAAATTTGCGAATGTCGCCTACATTGTAAATGCTTCTTGTCTACTTTTGGGGAGCCTTACCTATTTAGCTATAGGCAATAACATTATTTTTAGTTTATATATTATAAATGGGAAAAGAAGCAGCCTAAACGCAGATAATGGGCGATTAAACTATATTTATTTAAAATATAAAAAAGTTAATATTGCGATACAATTCTTATTTCAAAAATTACATTTTTTTATGTAAAAAGTTTTGCATTGGCCATAAAAAATCATTTTAATGTGGAATATAAATTTTCCCCCCCACAGTTTAGTTTCCGCTTATTGAAACTAATTAATTTTTCTACTAAAAAGCGCCTACCATAGGAGAACTACAAATTTTTTTTTTGTAATTATGTGCTGTTTGCGTACTTTATTTACTTGCTCATAATAGGTTCTACCCAGAAAAAATTATTTTATCATAACTATAAATTATTTTTATATATTTGAAGTTAATTTAAAGAAACATTCAGTGTCATAAGTAGTTTTTTAATACCTTGGCTTGCCCAACTTATTACTATGTATCGTTATCCGCTCATCGCAAAAATTTACTAATTTTCTTTATTTAAATCTGGAGTCCCTCAAAGTTAGACAGGGTCAGTATAACTGTATGTACAGCAACCTTATAAGACAATAATTTATTGTTACATATTTAAAGTTGTATTATCTAATTTTAAATTTTTTCATTTTGCACAGGCTTTCAGTTGATCCTAATTCCAGTTTTCAGCAAATTATTTGATAACTTTAAATACCTCGTTATGAGGCTGCTTTATTAAAGTTAAGTAGTGCTATAGTTTACAGTATACATAAAGCTAGTGGTTTTTAAATTTTCAGGGCTCGTATCCTTAAATTTTTAAATTGAATTGGTAATTTATAAGGTGGGCGCACAAGTATTAAATACCATTTAACCCCCAACGACAAAGTTGGTTCACACTAACCAGAAGCTGAGCAAGAGCAGATAGATTTTTAAAGCTTTGACCTCACGCGATAAAAGCTGGTCCAAAAGACAAAAGAGAGCGTAGCTGTTCGATCTGGTTGTTTTTAGTTAGAGGACTGTTTATTTTCGTACGATATTTTAGTACACATAAAGTATTGCCTTATATTTTAGTAGAAGTTTTAATTGAAAGCATAACGGTTTCTATTAATTAGCCGCGCTTTCCACAAATTGATGTGTTTCCTTCGCAACCGTATAAGCAACTATTTTTATATATCTAAACTTCCCACTACTTTTTTAAAATCAACGTTTTCAACAGATAATGATACATATTTAAGTAAGTTTGTTTAAAGAAGCTAACTGATGGGATGGTACCTTAGTTTTTCGTTAGGTCTCTTAAAAAATCCATTCTTTCAAAAATATAAAGAAAAAATTGCTTTCAAGAACAAAAGCCAGGACGAGTTGTTGGACTGTATAAACACAAGAAAAAGAGTTAAGACTGAGGAAGATAATGTAATTATCTTCTAATTTTTTTCTTGTAGTAGTTAACACTTTAATTATTAAACCATTTCGAGAAGTTGCCTTTGGCGTATTTGCATAAGTTAACGTCTACATCTGAAAGTTTCATTAAAAAGGCTTATCCCGTGAAGGCATTCTTTATTATTTTGTATAATTTTTTTTTATGTATTATAACTGTTTATAATATGTCTTATCTATTTATAACAATAAGTATTCCTTATACTCAGATTATTTTAGCCTGTACTTTTTTAACACTTTTCACAATCATATTTATAGTTTTTTTTTTTATGCCTAGACTTCTTCTTTTTATAGTAGTTTTAATATAACTATACAGTATTGTTTATATTATTAAATAAAAGGCTCTGAAAGACTTTGCAAACGTAGACAAACTTCGAGATAGAACCGCCGAAGAGGTTTCCAACTATATTTATATACTCGTCTTTGTAAATTGGCTACTAAATTCATAAGATCTCCGCTCTGTGGTTGCAATACTTTAAATTCCAAAATAAAGTTTTTGCTGTTCTCTCTTCAGCTGTATATGACACTCTTGCAGAGCACGCAAAGGCTTGTCCCTTAGTAATCACTTATCTGCTTTTTAATTTACCTAGCGATTGCTCCTTCTAGTTTATATATCCCGTTCCCAGACAACACGGCTACGAATTGTTTTTTACTCAATATTCTCAAAATCACTTTTACGCTACGAGCCTATTGGACTATAAAAAAAACCAAGAGTTCGCTAGCGTTGTTTTGACTATCTCGTACTTTTTAGATTTTTCTAAGGTTATTATGTGTTTAATAGAATTTTTTCTAGGATTTACACTTTCTCTATTTTATATAATTACAAAGGATAAAGGAATAGCATTGATGCTAGGAGATCCTGACACGAGCAGAATTTCTACATTTGAAGCTCAATCATTAGCAAACCAGGTAATTGATTTTTCTTTTTACCAAGATGTATTTTTAAAACTTTTTAATTCAGATCACTACCTATTATTTGAACTTAGAGAAGTACAACAACTTTGTTAAAGTTTTTAACACCGATCCCAGTAACTTTGATTATTTGCAGTTATTTAAAAACTTAACCCATCCTTAAGTTTACTTTGGTTTTAACTGTAAGGAGGTATCAATAAAGGTATAATTGTAGTTATTGATTTTCTTTTAATATTTTACGAATACATATAAAAATATTATATCTGAATTTTTCGGAAGACTCCTTTGCAAAATAAAATTAATGGGACGTATATTTTAATAGTTGAAGCACAAAACTTTAGGTTTTAGCTAATCTTGTTACTTCGTAAATCTTCAATATTAAATTTTAAGTATTTGAAAGTACTGTAGGACGTAATAGTTTAATTTGTACAAAGTTGACGAGTTAATTTAAAGGCGGTAGATTAGTAGTAGGCAAGCAGGTTAGATAGAAATCCAAAATATATTGTAACATAAACGTTTTTAGTTTCAACAGGCATAAGTAAATTTGTGCTAAACTGAACAATAATAATACTCAGTGGGTTTTACTCTATGTGGATATATAATGTGCAAGCGGTAGCCCTACGACAGTGGGCAAGGTTTCTTTTTTTTCAATTATGAATTATACATTCGTAAAAGGATAGTTACTATTAATTAATGAATATTAAATAAAACCACTATGGTAAAGAGTTTTTTCTCTTTAACTTTGTATTCATAAATACGTGAATATGTTTTTATTTACTAACTAAATTTATAAAACTAAAACAGCATTCAGTTAGCTATTGACCGGTAATCCATCGAATTGGAATCTTTGTTGAGCCAGAAGTACAATCGCAACATAATGATGTGCTGAAGTTCTTAATTAAGAGAGTATATTGCAAAGCAGTTAGAATGCTTTATAAAGTAGTATTCTATATTATCCGTTACTGTATGGAGACCTTCCACCTCCTTTTTCCTCTCCACGATCGCTTCTTTTCTTTTTTAGAACATTTTCTTCGTATTATTAATATCAATATCACAATAAATTGGGACATATTTCCTTGAAACTTAAATCCTTCTTAGGCCCCTTTTTGAGGGAGCAACTCACTTTTGTTATTTTAATTTTATGTAGCGTTTTGGAAATTTTCTTACCAATTGCTTGCTCACAAAGTGTTACAAACCGTAAATAGAGACAGCGCAGTCACAAAATAAAAATGTAAGCGTTGATAAACTTCATGAAAACTTTAAGAATTTAAGGTGAGAGCTTTCATAACTAAAATCTTCTGCGAGATTTTATATGCTGACAGGGGGTTTCAATAGAGCGGAAACTAATAATTGAGGCGCATTTTCAGAGAGTGATTCACCAGATGCTCTGCCAGCCTTTTAAGAAATGGATAAGTAAACTCTTTTTTTGTTTTAATTACCAAAACTCTTGGAGGATTAGCTACATTATAGCTATAGGACCTTTAAGTTGTTTAAAACCGGTGGACATAACTATTACTGACCGAGGCCGGAACAACGACCAACACCCCCTCCAAGCAACCCAACTTTTACTAAATTTAGTTTTTAAGTCTTTTTTTAAAAATAATCGATCCTATGGACTAACGCCATAGGCTATTGCTTTTCTCGGTTGTATGTATTGTAAAATAAAATTTAATCCAGCAACACTTTTTCCCTTAATATTCAATATCTTAACCGTATGCCTAGCAAGTACTGGCGCGGGGGCACTCTGTTCTTATTTTTTACTAAAAATGGTGACTAGACAAAATAAGACGCTTATTTAGAACAGTGGGTTCGTGCACCTAACTCCAACAGGCGGACTCCTTCTACTGGTACTCTGCCCCTTTTCAAGCGATCTCGATCCCTACCAGGTTAAACAACATTTTAAAGCTTTTACTATTTTCATAGCTATGGAAGGGAGTTTTCTAATCAGATCAGAAACATTTGGATTTCTTAAAATGTGTCTACCCTCTTACAAGTATCTTAAAAATTTTTTGTTCCTTCTCGCAAAGAGAGCACAAAACGGCTTATTACAGTTTCTCTTCCTTGATCAAAACGTTCTTCGCTCCATCAAATTTTGACGCTTAAGCAACATTCTTTACTATATCGTTAGTACTACTAATCCATCAATACTACTGTCACAGGTGCGGCAGCAAATTTGTTATTTTCAGCTCCTCAATGCGTAGTTATTTCTGGTTAACTATAGCGCCTCTAGCATAACACTGAACGAGACAGAGAGTAAGTTTATTAAATTAAAACTATATTTGCAATGATAGATCGTTCTTGAGACAGCAATGAAGCTAATGAAACGAAGGCGAATATATAACACCTCTCAGTACTATAATTATAGTATATTGGCGGAATATCACTTAAAATTAAATTAAATTAGCTCTTGTGAATTTGTGGTTTTTTATATTTATAAATTTATTCCTACTATGGCACTATCAATATGTGCATACCAAGGTCGAAATTAGTGTTATATTTATAATAATATATATATGATACACAGGCATTAGGGTACCCCTTTAACCACAACGCGTTCTACCCAGATTCTTAGCTTTCTATTTCTACATTAACTGATATGCTAAATTAATATATGCACATGGCCTACTAAGTCACATTAAAGCTTAAGCATTTCTTTATAATAAAACAGATTTTTTTTAGGTTTAAAATGTAACAGTTTAAATGTGTATAACCATTATACTAGGTTGAGAATTGTCGTAGCTCAGCGGTTAAGTAGTTTGATTCCCATTAATCCCACTCCCATTTTCGGTCTTCGAAGGTTTCGTGTTTAACCTCACACATAAAATCCTACTAAAAAGTTTAAGAGAGAAAGATAATGACATTAAATTAAACAACACAGGTACCAAGCAGTAGAGTGTGAACTAATACTTAATTTAAATTTGTGTACATAAGCTCTTCTTAAGAGGGAGAGCAGCTTCTTTGATTTAAATTCAGGGGAGGCAAGTGACCCGCTCCCCACCCCACCTTCAATAAGATTATTTAACTTTATACCTTGTATTGGCCACTAGGATTTAATTTATACCAGTTGTGGAGGTGAACACAATAAAAAGCTAAAGGTGTTTCTTGTTCGTACTTTATTATTTACTGATTTTTAAATATGTTCTCATAACGGTGAACTTTAATAGGTTGGTTGATACCTTCAGTTGAAGCTTTCTAATATAATACTGGTAAAAGAAAAATTTACATATTTATAATACGGTTAGTTTTTAATTTATATATTAAGAAGACATATAGTTAAAAGATTTTAATTTAGTAGTAAGAATTCCAACCCATGAAGTTTTCAAAAGGATAAACTATTCCTGAACACATGGTCTCTTGGAATTTATTTCATCCTTATATATTTAGCTATTTTCATTTTATTGTTTTTTTTTCCTTGCTGTTCATAGGGTATGTCAAGTTTTAAAGTTTTCACGAATAGCAGGAATTCTTTGCATGGAGGATAATTTTTTTTTGAATCTCTCGAAAATTGCTAAAAAAGGGAGGAAACTGGGAGTTAGATTCCCCGGTAAAATTGACTTAATATGTAATAGCAAGCGTAAGTAATAGTGCTTTCTTGATAACTGTAAAGTTCTTGAAAAGGCGGCCGAAAAATAGTATTACCATAAACGCTGCTTTAGAAGTTAAATCTTTCCTCTATTATAAAGTCCCACAGAAAATTATGTTTTTTTTTAAAAAAGGAAAATTAGTGGTTTGATAATTTTAAAAGACTTAAAACGTATGTAGAATTTTGTAAAACCAAGCAACCACTGTAGTTGTTTTAAAGATTCCTCGGTAACCAATCTTGGAGGTTTAAAACCCTAGTAAATCGGTATGATGTATTTTTTAGATTAAAAGACTGTGAAGGTAATTAATTAATGCCATTTGATCTAAAAATTGTATGATTATTGCTTTAGTGGACCAATATATATATATATATACATATGCATAATAAAACATTTATAGAAGGAACTTTTTTTGCTCTAACCGCCGGGCCGGGGCCTTGGTCCGCGCACCTAGCATAGAATTTGCGATGTTTACCTTACTTTTTTAGCGATTTATTCAAAATATACTCGTACATTTTAGAAAACTTAAACTACGTAAATTATAGCTCTGACCTTATATTACAGACCCTATACTTATATGTTTCTTATTATTTTTTTTAATTATTGACCTCTATTTTTTTCGAAGTATATATATTTATCTTTTACATATTATGAGCCTGAAGAAGAACTTAGAGTCTTCATTGCTACTTGCTGACTATTAATGAACAATTTAGAAAAGAGTTAGATGAGTTAAATTTTATAAAGACTAAACTTCTTGAAGTTACTCAAAACACTTAGGACAAAAGTAACTCTGAAAGACGAATGGAGCCTTTTGATAATGTGTTCTCGGCCATAGAAATACTATATCAACCAGATGCTTCCGAAGTGGTGCTGGAAGATAGCGAGATTATAAAGATTACAAAGGGCGAGTCGTCTGGTCACGGGAAAATAGCTAAGATTAAGGATACTAGTAGAAGTAACAATAACCTTATGACTAATAGCTCCCGTACAGGTGGCATTAATAATTATATAATAGTTAGCAGCAACACTAGTAGCAATAAAAATATATTCTTTAACAAAAAGAAATATTATTAATATAATGATAGTATTAATTTTCCCCTCATTAAGGGTAACGGCAACCCGAAAACCATTCGAGACTTAGAAAAGTTCATAAAAGCTCTACAAGACACCGTGGACATAGAGATGAGCAGAGCTTTTTTTTCCTGACGCTCACCCTCTAATTGAAGACCATCTACTGCAGATCCCCCCCTGCGAACTCGTAAAGAGAAAAATCTCTCCCATTACTTCATCAAGATCAAATCCCGTTAGGTTCTAAAATCCCTGGCCGCGCTTCTACTGCAAAAGCTGAACAGTCGCATCCGACAATACGGCAAATGTTAGCAATTTTAACGACGAATTTATCCAGCATGCTTAAAACTGTGAAAGGACTGGGGCCTGTTTGCAACAGTTTTTAAGCCAAAGACGAACCGCCATCTTCGATTTCTATTCTGGAATGCAAATGGGGTCAGAGTAAGAAGCATGAGCTTCAAGAGCGGTGCGCACCTCCTTACTAACGCCGTATTTAATTTTTGCGAGTTGTCAC